TATATATATATATATATATATATATATATATATATATATATATATATATATATATATATATATATATATATAGTAAACATTATTTTGAAATATAGTTAAAATAACGTGCCAAGAAACCTGTAAATATAAGTAAGTGTCCAATAAAGTTTTTAAAGATCCATTTTTTACGTCAAGTCGTGTTCTACCGACTGAGATTTCTACATTCAAACTCGTGAGTTGCGATTCTATACAAGTGAATATATTGATGACAATTTTCTTATCAAGGCTGGGTAACCTTTTTAGATTACCTTCAATAACATTAACAAGCAGTCGGTAAATAATACTATATGAAAAACAAACCTCGAATATTTGAACAGCGTAGAAGGTGATGGTGTTGATGCCACACCATTGGTAAATAAGGAAGTACAGTGCTAATATAATGAAAGGTTTCATAGCTGATGGCGACATGATGGCCTTAATGATCTCTTTGGGCGACTTCAAGCTGAAAGTGAAAATTTTTTGATGTTATATTTTCGTTCATTACTTCTTAATAGGATAGATAATACGACTAGAGGACGTAACAATCCAAGAACAATAAATACAATGCAGCATCGCCATTTATTAGTAACATGGCGGCACTTGAGGTAAACATTCCTGACGTTGATCAATCATGACGATACGAAAAGCAGTTAATAATGTGTTGCTTTACGCCAAGACACACCTTTATAACATTTAACGTTTTGTCGATATGGATACTGTGTTGATGCTGCAGGTAGTGAGTACTAGGTACCGACCTGAATTCTGAAGTATAACTGAGTTGTTGAGGTAGCTTCAGTTTATTGAAAGACGTCTTTAAATATAGATCATAATGTTACTGAACGAATAACTTACTGCTCCACATGATTCTTTTCTTTAAAAGCGATCATTTTCTGCAGTTCACCGTCGACGTCACAAGTTGACCCCCTTAGTTTGAGCAGACATTTTTCCGCTCGTTCCGGTTTATCCTGTGTGAGGAGGTAGTTCGGCGACTCCGGGATCAATATCATGCCTATCAAAGAGACCATTGGAATGATGGAGCTGACTCCTGCTAGGACGGTCCATGATGTCGCGCTACCAATAACGTACTGAAAACAAAATATTTTTGTCAAATTTTGTGGCATCACATTCAAAAACTTCTGACCCTTGTGAAATTTTGTTACAATACAGTGGACTCCAAAAAGAGACTTTTACTTTTCGATAGCTAAAATTCCGCGGTTCTAAAGCCGTTTACCCCATGATGTTGTTACCAGTCACTTCACAGATGATTCAATCCTCATATAATTTCACTGTCAATTATCACATTACTGCAGAATCGTGCGAAAAACGTAGATTGTAAGATCACGTAATTTCATTTGACGCGTAGTTGTTATCTAGTGAGAGCAAACTAACAAACAAGTCGTTTGTTTGTTGTTTGCGACAGTTCTAAATTTGTCAGTTTCAACACTTAGGTATCTAGTTGATACTCAATTTATCGTAGTCACGCGTGGAAACGTCACGATATGACATTATGTTGTATCTTTGCGGATTTTCTTGCTGTTACCTATCTTGGTTGACGTAAACGTAAAGACGGAGATTTTTGTTAAACTACCTAAGAAATGAATGCTAGGATTGCTTTAATACGATTCTGTCAGCGAGCTCTGCCACACTGATTTTTTATTTTTTATTGAAAACCATGATGTTTTTAGTACATCGAGTATATAACCATAAATGGAGACGAAATAAAGGCGGTCCTTCTCTGGCAATTCATTAGCTAATTTGGCCTTATATCACTTTTAAATATCAACTTTCGTTTGTGCTGAAATCACAAATTAGAATGCTGAAATAGTACAGCGCCAACAACTGACCTGTGTTTACGTCTCCGTATATTCCAAAAATATTCTCTATTTATTGTAATAAAGATAATCTCTAACTATGGGAGGCTGTTCCATTCGGTGGAGTGGGAAAAACAGCAAAACATCTAATTACAAAACAAACGGAATCACGTTTCATCGGTAATTAAATATTAAATTATGTAATTTTGCAATTTTCGTCCATTATAGCAAAACTCAAGTTATACTGGTCGATTTGAAGTGAAACAATTGACGACACCCGTCAATTGTTTCGAATTCGGGCTGGCCAATCGGACCGCAGTTGTTACCGTAATTTTGTGACAGAATAGTTTTTAAACAAATTAAAAGACTTTTCGTTATGTGAAAAGTGTAGTAATTTTTTATAGCAATGCCCCATAATTTATTATTTTGGTAAAACAATTTAAATACACCTTACTAGATCGTCGCCTTATTTTGTCAAGCCCGTATCTTAAAGCACAAAGTTACTGAAATGCAAAAAATGGATTGTATATAATTTTATAAATTTTGAAGGCTGATTACGCATCACATTTTCTTCATATTCACACACTGGCTTTTACCTATTCTTAAAGTAATGCATATAAAAATAAATAGAAAGTTTTGCCATTTCCTGAATAATCAATCACTCTTTATAAGATACGAGTTTGAGAAAATAAGGCATCGAAATTTTGGTTCGCAAAGTACACGCGTAAACTTAATAGTTTCCCAGATTTGGTAGGACCCTGTGGAGGACATACATTTAGCCCTGTAACTTTTTATTTATTTCTTTCCAAAATCCAGACCGCTTTCTACAATTGTTTTACAACTACTACTAAAACTTGGAGCACTGCATTTGCAAACTCATGAATTTTTACTGATGTCATTTACATCAACACCGCACGAATCTATTGACATCTCAAAATGGGTAGTAAGCCTTTTAAGCGCTAACACGTAAAGCATCTTCCTTTACACTTACTCCGGCCTTTAAGAACATAGTTATCAGATTCTTAATCTCAACACAAAAGACGTAATATGTAGATAGAAAATCACGTGGTATAAAATATCGTTACAGGGTTTTCTAACTTTTGTTCGTGTTCTGTTAATTAGCATGCCAAAGGCAGGAGTGGATCTGAGCAGTTGTTTGTTCACAACAAGTGCTTTGTTGTCAGTATATAATTGTAATGGCTGTAGTAAATAGACAAGTACGCTATTGTTTATGTCGACGTCCTAACTCGTGGCTTCGTACAGACTATAAGCTACTTTTAAAAAGATTTTAACTAAAAAGCAAAGAAGTGATTTGTACTGTAATCGATAATCCCTCCCAATCCTCGAGATACTTAACATGTATCTACGGATTCTCGTGAAATTGTAATTATTATTGGGGTGAATAAAGGTTTATTATCCATGATAATGCATGTATGTGTAGTAAGTACATTGCCGCCATAAGATGTAACATTGAGTATGTGCGCAGTGATGAACCAGAGTTCAAAATAGACAAAGTATATTTAGCTAAACTTCAAGGAGATAATACATATAGAGTGGATAAAACCCCCCCTATTAAAATAACTGTAATGAATTTTGTTCTAAATTTGTGATGTGTAACTATAGTAATTACTTTCAATTTAATTTAAAACTTATAATTACTTTTTAAATTTTTGAAATTTCATAATGCATTAACAATTTAGTAAGCATTTGCACACCTACCTATTTCCCTGACGCTGACCACACCCGGTGCAATCTGGCCGAAACGTCGATCATCTCGTAACCACATTACGTCGGGATAATGAGTAGGTGTGCAAATATCAATTACATTGTTTAATCGCATATATTCCTGTTTTGAAATATCAATACATGTTTTGTAATTAAAAAACCAAATTTTAAAGACAGGTTCTATCAACTCTATATGCAATGTAATATATGTAATATATTACGATCTTTGGTACAAAATTATACAAGAGAAACTAACCTGTATCAAGACTCCGGTGGAAACACCAACAGAGGCCAAAGCACCAAGCATGCCTCTGAGATGGGGCTGCGTCACTTCGCAAGTGTACACCCTCGCTGGAGCTCCCACCATACCCGACCCCAAGCCTATTAATAACCTTCCTGCAATACGATAAAAGGGTGTAAAGAATTTGTATTCTAAATGGGTAGCGACGTACAAGTAAAATATTATATTTTACACATCAAATTTTGAGAATTATTAGGCAAAGAACTTAGCATCTTTAAGTTAAATTTCTTGCTATTATTTTTGTTCTCTTCTTGTGTTAAAAGATTAACCACTGTGGTGTATTGGGTCATTTCTCTAAAGCCGCATTTTTCTGTGTCTATGCACTAAACTCCGCTTATTTATCAAAACAAAAATCTAAAAAAAATAGAGAGTATAACATAGGTCGAAAGCTAATTGGAGAGCACAAAATCTTCCCATTAAACCTTTCGGACCTAATGGAAAAAAGTCCGAAATGCCTAAAACCTGACAACAGTGGCGTGTCCCGAATGCAGAATCCATAACAAAGTGTCATTTTCCTCAAAATTGTAACATTAACCAATTCTGACTTTAGTTCACGTATATTACATTAGATGATTGTACTGATAATCACAATTTCACAATAAACTAGACAAATGCCAAGAATGCTGCGTGTGCCAGGCTTACGCGGGAATTCGGTGGCCGTTACTAACCACGCTACACATCACAAGTGAAGCACTTTAGAAGCTTCGCAATTCGTCCGTATTATTCGTCCATCACGCCCCTGCGGCTAAAGAGAACAAGTGAATGATTTGTTGCCGATTTTAGGACTTCTTGCGTGTAAATATTAATTCGGTGGATTTGGTCCAGGTTGATTTTTGAATTCAGTGTATACGATATTTCAAAAACTAAATTTTAGGGTTATATGCAACATTTTTGATAATATGTGTTATAACAACTAGAATATAATAACAATTTATTGGTTTTACAAGTATTGTGGTTTACGAATAATATCAAGGAATATATATATATATATATATAGTGAATCTCGTGGCCTTGGTTTCGGTGGATTTTATGCCATAGAATTCAGAAAAGCTTCCACCGAAGTCGGAACAAACTACCATCAAAGCCATATTTTCTTTGAAAAGCAAGAATTTTATAAGTTTTTTCATGTAAATGTTTAGTAATATTATTGATTTTTATAATTTTATATTACTATTTGTTTCCCGGTGAAAACGAATAAGGAAAATCAAAACAGAAAAGAAAAATTAGAAATCATGAAGGTGAAGGAACGTGCTAGAAAAACAAAGATAAAAAGCGATCCAATTATATATGAAATGTTTAAAGAAAAAGATAGACAGAGATATGCGAAGAAAAAGTGGAAGGAAAGATTTTGATTTTTTGTTACATGAATTACCTCGTCGTGTATAAAAAGTAATGAAAGGTATTAATTGCGCAAGTTCCAAAAAAAATATTGCTTTTGTAGCTACAGATTGCGTTCTAAAATATATTTTTTAAAAAGGGATACGGAAATACATTGTGCTTGAAAAAAGGTTGAACAGCCAAACTGAAAACTGCTTTTAATAAATAAGGTGAAATTTGTTTGTGTTGTTCTGGTCGATTTATAAATAAATTTTAGTTTTTAAAACTTTATTTAATAGTTAGTCATATTAGTAAATGTTTATGTAGATTATGGAATGTTTTTATTGCCTTTTTCATAAAGTTTGATGGAAAAAGTGTGCCTTTTGTTGTTGATTTTGGTGGTAGCTGAATTCGGTGGATAAAATAAGTCATTAACTGTTAGAAATCTAGTTGCCCAATTAATAGAATCTTGTGTAAGTTTTGAGTTCTTTTTTTTTCCTTTCCACTCAATGTTTTTCGTGAAATTCAGAAAAAAAATTCGCCCACCGAAGTTAGCTCTTCTAGGAGAAACGCCTATAGAAATAAGGGTACTGCTGCACGCTCGCTCCTGGGCCGTTGCAGCGCAAGATGTCGGTATGAACGGGCGTATTCACAGAACACATAAATACTAGGGCATATTGCACACGCACGTCAAACTTACGTAACGTTGTTTTGTTGAGCTATCCCAGTACAAATGAACGTAGACATCATACCCACCCTCATAGATTAGATAGACTATCTAAAGTTTTTTCATGAAAAAAGAAAAGAATTTTAATTGTAACTATCCCAATCTAGAGGCTAGAGCGTGTTGTAAAGCTTTCCTGAAAATTTACGTTGGCTGGCAATGGATTAATAATGAAAAAGAAAAGAGTGATGTAAATTTATAACTGCCAGAAATATATTTCTTTGCTTTTTAAAGTTGCTACGAGTTATAAATTCCTAGGTTTTCGAGCTTTATTTTCTTGAACTTTTTCGTGGAGACATTTTGTTTGTAATAAAAATATGATCTAGCTCATAAACGCTATTGGTTTTAAATAACCGTCATTTCTACGCAAAAAGGAACCTTCGAAGTGGTAACGTGTCGACTTTACTAATTTATTTTGTTTACTTTTTTATTTCTAATTGTACTTACCAACATACAACATCGGAACATTCTGTGCGCAAGCAATGAGTAGCCATCCTATGATGAGAGGTATTTCAGTTATGATGAGTGTAAGTCGGCGACCGATGGTGTCCATGAGATATCCACTGAGAAGGCAGCCGAAGGGAGTACCCGCTGCACTTAAACTAGCTGTAAAATAAACGCATTATATTATATATTATTTTTTATTGTTGTGATTGATGTGAACAAAGGTTTAGTATTAATGAACTTACCCCACTCCTGGAACCAAGAGTGGGACGAACAGTCCGAAAGGGAATAAACAATCTAAACAAATGTATTACAGCCGACTTGAATCTGTTAATTTCTAAAAGACGGAGCTTTTCGTAAGTTTAAACGGTGTAGGTCGGAGGAAAATTGGACTGCCTTCAAATTATGTAGGAATCGCTGTAATCAGATGGTGAGAGCCGCAAAACGCCGCAACTTTCATGACAATCTTGTACAGTCTTCTCCTGCTGCAACTTGGAAATTTTTGAAGTCTGTGGGTCTGCTTAAGCCTCAGAATGACGCTATTCCTCATTCTTTCACTCTCGATGACATCAATCATCACTTCTCAGCGGCCGCCAGCACTCAGTGTATTGGCAAGGTCAATGCTCTCAATGACATTCCTCTCTTGTGTAGTCAACCTTCCCAAGCTTTCTCTTTTTCTTCGGTTTCAGAGTCAGAGATTCGCAAAATAATAATGTCTTTAAAATCAAATGCCGTTGGTTGTGATGACATTAGTCGTCAAATGATAGTCTGCTGTTTAGACAGTGTACTGCCGATTATCACACATATTATTAATTGTTCCCTTTCCTCTGGTACTTTCCCTAGCAGCTGGCGCAGGGCGTATGTGCTGCCTCTTCCTAAAATAAATAATCCGTCCGTTCTTAAACACTTTAGGCCAATCTCAATACTACCTTTCCTTTCTAAAATTCTAGAAGCAGTTGTTCATCGCCAATTATCATCCTTCCTTTTTAGACACAATGTCCTTGGCCAGTACCAATCAGGTTTCCGGCCGGGCCACAGTACCACAACGGCATTATTGAAAGTTACGGAAGACATTCGTGAGGGCATGGAGGCTTCGCGGTTGACAGCATTAGTTCTCATTGACTTCTCTAACGCCTTTAATGCTGTTGACCATGATATACTCCTAGCCATCCTAGCTTTTTTGCGAGTTTCTGCCCTGGAACTGGAATGGTTCTCTTCATACCTTAAGGGGCGCAAGCAAGCTGTTCGTGCCAAAGACGTCTTGTCTAATTGGTGCGATCTAGAGGCAGGCGTGCCCCAAGGCGGAATTCTTTCTCCCCTATTATTTTCAGTTTTTATAAATTTAATCTCTCCTATTCTCCGCAGCTCTCATCATTTGTATGCTGACGATCTACAGATTTATGCGCAAGCAAAATTTGACTCCTTGGATGATGCGATATGTAACCTCAATGATGATTTGCGACGTATTGCTGACTGGTCGAGTAAGTTTGGCATCAGTGTCAATCCAAGCAAGTGTCAAGGCATGATCGTGGGTAGTCCCTATGCTTTGTCTAGGTTGGACATAAGCTCCGTTGCGCCTCTTTCTTGTGATGGCACATCCATTGTTTTCGTGCCTCATGTAGTGAATCTGGGACTACACATTGATTCTACTTTTTGCTGGCGACCTCAGATTGACTGCATTAGTCAGAAGATTATTGGTATTTTGAGGTCATTCTATCAGTTCAAACACTTTCTTCCCATTACAACAAAGATTCTGCTAATTCAGGCAACCATTTTCCCTATCTTCGATTATGCTGATGTGTGTTATGCTGATATCACTCAAGAACTTCTCAACAAATTGGAGCGGTTGCTCAATAGTTGTATCCGGTTCATTTACTGTCTTCGCAAGTATGATCATGTGTCCGCATATCGTGACAAGTTGAAATGGCTCACGATTCGTCAGCGCCGGAATCTGAGAATCCTCTCCACGCTTTATTCCGTACTCAAAGACCCATGTGCACCAGAGTATTTGAAATGTAAGTGTCAATACTTTGGTGTGCACAATGCCCGTGATCAGCGTTCACATAATAAATTTAATTTATCTGTTCCTCCTCACCGTACTGGTTTTGTCTCTAACTCGTTTACTCTTCAGGCAATACGACTCTGGAACGCTCTCCCACCCCATATTCAAAGTGCGCCAAATAAACTCGCATTTAAGCAGTTAGTCCGCAATCTAATGCTAGATTCTCCACCTGCATCACAATAGTCTCATTTGGATATATGTTTATTATATATATTATTATAATATAATTTATTGTTATGTATATATATTTATTATTATGTATGTATAAAATTAATTTTTATTGTTTATGTATGATCATATTTATGTACATAATATATACATTAACCAAATTGTTTGTTTATTAACTTTATTCCTCTTTTTTCCTTTCTTTTTTTTTTTTTTTTTTTCTCTTTCGTTTTTGTTTGTTTGTTGTCAAGTTTTGCAACGCCTGTTAATTGTTCTGTACTCAGCTCTCTGGTTAACTGGTAGAGAATGCCTAGTGGCATTAAGTTCGCCATTTGTACTTTTTTGTATGCAATAAAGTTTAAATAAATAAAAAAAAAAATAAATAAAAGTGTATTTTTTTTCTTTTTAGAGTTAAAGAAACTTTTCTTGTGTTTTAGCGTATTTTATGGATTTATGATCAGTTCTTCTTATTGTGAGGTTTACGAAAGGAGCCTTTCGTTCCTTACCTGTGCGTCTGCGATCGGTGAGTATCTTACGATGATTAGACAATCTTTTCACCACGATGGCAAGCAGTAAGAAGCAATAAGAAGAAGCAATAAAACTCGTTTAATCGGTATAGCTCTTACCTATCCAACTAGCCTGGCTTTCCGTGACCTGTATATAGGAAGTCTCACTCTGCAATTGCGGCAAGGCTGTCGCTGGGAAACCAAACGCCATTCCCGTATTGATAGTGCCAAGATTGGCCACAAACGAGACCACGACTTGCCGGAATGCTTTCCCTCTAGTTGATTTATCTGGCTTTGAAGGTTTGGGTTTTATTGGAAACGGTGTTTTCTCAGGATTTTTTGTTAGGCTAATGACTGGAGTGGCGGTGCCGACTAATGGAGTGGAATTACCGCTGAAAACAAAACAAGTAGGTTATTACCAAGACCAGTGTGTAAGAAGAATTGTGGTGTTTTATGTCTGTTAAATACATGACCAGCATTAACGAATTCTTTGCATTCGTGCTATTTCTTGTATTTGCTTGTACTTCTATGGAATCAATCCTGTTTTCCTAGTCTTTCGTCAACCGACTAATAAAAAACAATAACATACCAAAAACTGTTTTTATTTCAAACTTAGGTAATAGTTAATTAGTGTAAATAAACTTAAGTTAAGTAGTAATAAACGATTTCTATTTTATTCTAAATAGTAATAATAGTGCAGTCTTCGAAATTAATTGTACACTTCAATATTAATAACAATATTATTCATATTCAAGTAATACATTATGGCGTTCGAATCGATACAAACGCAGCAATCGGCTTTTTGAGCCTCTACGCCGACGACGCGCAGATGACGCGCGTAAACGCGATGCAGTCGCAGCGAGTACACTTTTGCACACGTTCAGAAATTAAAGCAATACTTTGCCAGACATGTGCACGAATCACTTGGTTTCAAAGTAAAGAACGACCAGACATTAAGCAGCAAAATTACCATCAGAACAAAACCCAGGGCGCCCAAACATGAAATAAATTTAGTTTTTTTTTGTATATCAAGTGACGGGACGAACAAGTCCAGCGCCTGGTGGTAAGCGACACGCCTATCCATAACAGTTGCAGCGCCACTCGGAGCTTTAAATCGCAAAGGTCTTAGGGGCACTGCCACTGCTCCCGTCACCTTGAGATATGAGTTGTCAAGTCACATGTACCTGTAATTTCAATAGAAATGGGTAAGGTGGAACTGGTTTCTTGGACGAACTCTTTCACAAAGAGCTCTACTGCTACCAAATTAGTCTCACAGTAGTGGTTTCACAAATTAGTCCGAATCTGGGACCTCCTAATCTAACGTCAAGAGTGCTAATCGCTGTGCTACCGGGATCTTCACAAAGATATTATTATTCGAATAGCCTCTCTGTTATAGGGTTATCTTTTGTAACGATAAGGTCAGACTGGACGACAGTAGATAAAGCGTACTTCCTCTGAGTTTTTTAATGATTCATTGACCTTTCTTAAAATGAATGTTTATTTCTTGTTCTCTATCTGTTATCTTATTTAATAGAGCGGCGTTGTAGTAGCAACGGCAACGTAAGAATAATAATTGTTTGTTTTCACAGTTGACTATCACAACACTTGGAAAAATCGCCGCGACAATAAGTTATTTTTTAATCAAGTCTGTGACAATAACTTATTACGGAATGGAGATGATAATATTGATTGATATTTATGAGTTTATGGAAATAAATTACGCTAATCGAACTATGTGAACTCAACAAAGAGCAGCCTACCAGCTAATTTCACCAAACAGGAAGTGTAACAAGTTGGCAGCCTGCCTTTTTTTACATTAAGCTAATTTTTCATTAACTTAATTATATCATTATCTATTAATTCCTTGTTAATAAATTAAGAACATAGATAATATAAAAAAGGAAAATAAAGTTATTAGTATGATTATGATTATTCAAATAAGTTATGATATATATACTCGTATATATCCTGATTTTATAGTTAAACCTACTTAACTCAAAGGCTAGTTCCCATAATTAAACACGAGTTTCAATAATTAAAATTTCGTGTTTATGACATAGAATTACCACTCAAAATAATGTTACATACAAAGAAGTTACTATATTAAATATTTTGAATATTAATGTCAATTCATGTAATGGCACGTGTTCTCGATATCGGGAATAACAAATAACGTAAATGTTTACATGCAAGATAATTAAGTTTTACTGTTAGAAAGTTAGTTATGTCAGCCACATCGATGCAATCAATTAATATTAAGAGGTGCGTGATGTCATGCCATATCAGTCGTGGTAATAGATAAAGTTGAAAATGGCTCATTTGTTTGGGTTAGATAAAATGAGGCTTTTAGAGAAAAGTAATCATTAGTAAGGTAAATAGCAATTTAATTAAGATTGATCACAGATTTTTTGCGCCGTAGAGTTCCATCGAAATACTTCTTAGAAACTTGCATTGACCTCAACGGATCCGATGAATTACATTTCAAAGATTTTTCACAAGGCTACGTTCGTAGAGTTCGTTCAGGGAAATACTGCCACCTTACCTATTACAGCCGCCAAGTAGTAATGTCAGCATTACTGTGTTCCGGTTTTTAAGGGTAAAAGTGCTGGTGAAATTATAGGCACATGGGACTTATCTACTTATAACTCAGGGTAACAGGTGCAGTGACAATGCCCCTCAGATCTTTTCAATATAAAGCTCTGAGTGTTATGGAGAGGCGTGTACCTTACCATCAGGCGCATGACTTGTTGGTCCCGTCATTTGATATTATAAAAAAAAAGTTTATTTTTACAAATCGTACCTCCATCGAACAGTGGCATAAGTTGAATTACACAATTTTTTATACTAATAACAAAGTGACACGCGTCTCGTCTAATTAGTATAACTCTATGAACAAGATTGACTGAATTATATTAAAAAATTCCAAGATATTACACCTATTTGGTATTCATACTACGGGGAATTTCCTAGCAACTTGTTATTGGTTCGATAGTCGGGCAAATTACTAACCGACGTAAAAAAAAAGGTGTTCTCAATTCGGCTGTTTGTTTTTTTTTTGTAAGTATGTTACGCGATAACTCCGGCTTATTATTATTATTATACAATTAATTTGGGAACCGATTTTGATGATGCTTTTTTGTTGGGAAGAGGGTACCTCAGCAGTGATCACATTTCAATTTGAAGAAAATATTCCACCTCTAAGGGTGCCAAACTAAGGAATTAATGACTTTTGAGATCGATTTTTTAGTACTCTGTAGTGAGACTATGATTTGTTTCTTTATTTTCATGCGTATACAGTCGCAACTGCTGAGCACAGACGTCCTCTCACAACGGGAGTGTTTTGGCTGTAGTACCCACGCAGGCCCAACATAGATTGCGAACTTCAAACACATCATTAAATTACTTTGCACATGTGTGCAGGTTTCCTCACGAACCATGGTCTTTTTCGGGGGAGTTGTAATGTGTAGAAGCAACGTCACTTCTTTAGTAGATCACTGGATCACATATTGAAGGAAATGTTGAGGAGGCATAAGATTCTCCATATTGTAATAGAATTATTATTACACTTCTATTTGCTTCTACATCCTGACTGGTTCGCCATCTCTTATTAGGTTGGTTGTGCAGTGAGGTAGTTAGGATGCATAGATAACTTCTATATAAGTTGGGACATCATCTGGTTAGCGACGTATAGTGAAACGGGAACATTTTTAGATAATGTGTTCATTCGTTCATTGTGCACATTACACTCACTATGCTTTTCTTCGTCGAAAAATCAAACATTACAAAAAAATCGCAGAGAGATCGCTCGAAGCTGTCTTTCTAGACCAGGTTTATCAATTCGTACACAACAAGTTAAATGCTCAAACTCGAACTCCAACCCACTGTCTAAGAGTCCCTCAGCTTATACATCATCAAGCAAACAATAGGTTATTTTAAGTTCAAGGAAAATAAAAGGTTTTAAATTATCCCTTTTATGAGCCAGTAACTAGATATGTACATTATATTGTCATAAGATTCCTTGTAAGAAAGTTATGTCGGTCAGCATAAGAAAGAGACATGACATTTCCGACCTCAGAAAGATGTAACTAACTCCTTCGTAAAGCACAACAGATATTTGTTGTAAGAAAAACTATTATTTGATATAAAAATCAATAATTAGTGTAATTAATTCAGTAGGTAATTAATTAAATAAGTAATAAAATAAATAAAAAATTAATTAATTTATTACCGATTAATCATATAAGCCATTAGTTAAATAAATTGTTAATTAAATAAAAATAACAAAGAAAATAATTTTATTAATTACATCAGTAATTAATTAAATAAGCAATTATTTAAATGACTAATTAATTAATCAATTAATCAAGGAAGTAATTAAAGAAGTTGTTATTTAAATAATTACGTAATTAATCAATTAGGTACTTTAAATAATTACGTATTACATTTATTACTTTTTAATTGCAACAATTTTAATTAATTACTTAAATTATTACATATTTCATTTATTACTTTAATTATTCACTGATATAACTAATAAAATTTAATTATTTGTTTTAATCAACTCTTTATTTAGTTAATTACTTATATGATTAATTATTCAATTACTTATATATTAAATAGTTCTTTCATTAATTACTATTTCACTTATTATATATTCTATTAATCACACGTTTTATTAATTATCTATTGTATTCATTTCATTAATTAGTCACCTAGGCAATAATTATTTTAATTAATTATATAAATGATTAATTACTTCTTTACTAATTAATTGTTTAATTAAATACCTATTTAATTATTTCATATGTAATTCATTACATATTTAATTAATTGCTTATTTAATTAATTATTGTATTAATTATTTCTTCTTTAATTAGTTGTTATTTAAGTTATTATCGATAATTATTTTTAATATTTATTACTTAATTACCTACTTAGGCAATTACTGACCTTATTTGATTACGAACCTTATTAGTAACTGATGCAATTAATTTCTTGTATTAATTAATTACAGTCGTAATTTATTGATGACTTAAATAATTACTTATTAATTTTTTTTGTTGTTTAATTATTTACAATAGTTATTTACTTACTTATATAATAAATTTATACATTTATTAAAAAAATTAATTAATTATCATAATTAATTACTGAAATTAATTATTTTAATTATTAATATAATTAATTACTTTAGTTAGTAACTTTAGTACGTGTAGTCTCCAGTATGTAGTTTTCAGAGCCAGCGTCAACAAGAAAGAAGTATGTTATTTTGCATCGACATATCCGTGTAACCCCGACATTACCAAAGGCAGGATAAAACTACTTTATGCTACCCTTGGTAATGTCGGTGCTACACCTACTGGATACACTTGCTACATAATCGACCTCATCG